AGTTTCTCTTTTGAGGAAAAAGAAGAAATCTTATTATCTTAATTGTTGACAGATTTAAGTATCTTGAGAAGATTTTTCTTGTTGTGCTTTCTTGAGAGAAAGAAAAACAATACTTTGTAATTAAATCTTATTGGTGATCCAAAATATTTTTCTAACTAAAGAAGAAATGTATTTTGTTACATTGTATCCTTATTAATAAAATAAAAATAAGGATTTCAGAGCATTTAAATGTTATGTGAATGAAAGTTGGAAAGTGCCAACTTTGACAAATGAATGAAAAATGAGAACCAAAACTTTTGGAAAAAGTTTATGGATATTATATTGATAAATTCTAGAATATATACTCTAGAATTTGTGGTGGAAATTAGATATCTCGAGCTACCACATTAATATTTAGAAATGTGGGGGTCTTTAGGCCCTAACCACATAAATTAAATATTCCGACCTAACCACATTAATATTTAGAAATGTGGGGGTGTTTAGGCAAAGTTAAAAAAGTACCTAAGTTAATATACAATGCCTAGTATAGTTAAGTGGATAAAATACTTAAGCATATTCATTGAATATGCAAATAATGATTGTGCATAAGATAGTCATTCTTGATGCAAATTACATTATATTTTTCTTGTAAAATAAGAAAATAAATAAGTTCTAAATAAGAGAACTAATAAATGTCTAAGTGGTAAATCATCAAAGTGATGAATAACCAAGTTAAAATATGTGTGATTGGTAAATCATCAAAGTGATGAACAACCAAGATACAACAAGATGACAAAGAAAATCAATATGTTTGATTTTGATTTGATTTTATAATTTATGAGTTATAAAATGAACAAAGGACAATTATTGAAATATTGTCTACATTGGAAGAATGTACGTGGAAGTTAGTCTGTCTTCTTCCAAGTAGTAAACCATTAAGGTTTTGATGGACTATTCAAAGGAATGATTAAGGGTGGTCCAATAAAGCTAAATTAAATAGCTATGGAAAATCTTGATTATTTATAACATTGTAATATCAAGCTAAATTAAATAGCTATGGAAATATTCTAAAGTAATATTTGATAAAATTGTGTTAGTAATTCTCGTAATAACGAGTGTGGCCAGTGTGTTTATATTAAAAGCACATGGAAGTATATGTCTATAGACGACATTATAATCATGAGATAGTGATCATGATACTATTTTGAACGTTGAGAAAATATTGGAAAAGTAAAAATAAAATTTTTGATGTCAAAAGACGAGGGTCTAGACGATGTAATCTTACAGATTAAAATCACTAAGACAAAGATAGTCTTATTGAAAGTCTCATGTTGAGACACTACTAGAAAATTGATCTAGTTATCTAAAGACCAAGGGTTTACCTTGCCAAAAATAATGATGAACAATGGTTCAATTACAAATATTTTTGGATAGTTTGGCAGCATAATGAATTGCAAACTAGTAAATATGTAATTCCAAAAATAATAATCATTAAATGATATTATAAGGGTTCTTAGGTAATCTAAGTATAGCCTTTAAATGGATTACATTAAAGAAAATATCTTATTGCGTTAGGAAAATACATTGGATATATGAGTCCACTAAGATTATGTATCTTGGAAATCCTCAAACAAAATTGAATAGCTCGATTCATGGTCGAATTCGAATGTATAACTTGAGATAAGGTTATAAAAGAAGTTGAATAAACTTCATAAAATTATTGGAGGATGTTCCGTGTTGGACTAAGTCGGTGTCTACAATTATGAATAAATTGTGATAACCAATCGGTTACGTTAAGGGCACAAACGACATGTATAATGGCAAGTATCGATACACTCGTAAAAGCCGCTTGCTCGTATTGTA